GGCTTTTTCCAAGGTTTCCAAAGCTCTTAGTCGTTCCTTCTATTAAAGGCATTCGTTATTTACTTCAAAAATATTAAAAAGGGAATACATATTTATTTCTAAATATTTATGCACTTACATTTAAGCGTTCGTTGACTGGTTTGCTGCTGGTGGAGGAAGAATTAGATGTCTCACCAAAAGCTGTATTTGTAAAGAAATATTAAAATATTTGTTTTTTCTCGGAGAAACCGATTTACCTTTTAAGCTATCTAAATTTAAAACCCCAAGCGAGTCAGCTAAATTACTAATATCGGTGTTATGTTTATCCATATTGTCCTGAGCACAAACCAAGGAAAATTCCTTCACAAAAACTTCCCCCGATTTATTGGAAATTTAAGCGTATATTTCTTGATTTTTATAAAATTGAAGACGGCTGTTTGCGCCACTACAAATGCAAATCCGCCCGCCCCAGAAATATTTTTTTTTTCTTTTGGTAAATGCCCGAAATAATGACAAAACTGAAGTTGGCGCAAATCGGGTTTAAAATTAAAATGGTGGAAATTTGAGTCGTCGTCAAAGAACACAGAGTTGCATGCACCGAAAGAGTACAGTACGAACACAATCGATAACAGTTTGAAAATGTTTGATGAATTTTCTTCGACCTCCGTAACTCGGGATTCCCACCTGCCAAGATTCGTGTCTAGACATGAATGTTACATGGACACCGCGCTTATCAATAAAACTGGTCAATTCCTTAAGAAATACTTGGTAATTTGATTAGTTTAAAAAGACTACCTGTACCTGTTTACCCTCGTGCGGCTATTCACATATCGTAGTCCATTATACATTAGTAAGCTACAGCTATGTCGTGGAATCCGATGTTCTCGTTATCGGATTTAAATCCGACAACCTTTTGGCTAGGTGTTGCGCAATTCGATATTATCGATTTTTATGTTCGAAAATAAATTTTTCTAATTTTCACAGAATCCGAGTTGGTCGGTTTTTGTCATGATACAAAAATTTTAAGGTAAATGCGCTGAGAGGCAGCCTGAACATTTTTAAAGTTTGCTAACATAACAAAAATGTTTTCAAATTTTCAATCTCACAAATACATTCTCATTTTCAGTCTCAAATAAAAGAAAGTTTGAATAGTTTCATCTATTTGTTTTTTGTTTTACTTTTATTTGGCATTTGAGTTGCTCTCAAAATTTCAATTTTATAAAGTAGACAAACTTCAAAAAATAAATGATGGTAGACGAATTGAGCGAGCAGTTTTACCTATAAATATTGTTCTTGTTATCGGAATCAAGTGAAGTAAATGCAAATGTTTTGGTTTATTTGTGTCGCCTATTTGAACGTAGTTTTTTAAATTTTTTAATGTAAGCAATAATATAGGAAACTAATTCATATTTTAGCATTCAAATAATCGATTTTAGGAAAAAACTAAAATTGTGGTATGCTTCATTTCCCGGGTACGGTTCGCTTATTTGTGAAATGATGAAATGTGAAAAAAAATTAACGCACAAAGGATTTAACTTTAATTCAAAACAAATAT